GTATCTGAATTTTACAGACATTGAAGTGGAGTTGGATGAGAAGCATATGGTGAAGACTTGCCCGGCTGCCCTCGGCCCTGGTTTTGCCGCTGGAACTACGGACGGCCCTGGTGTGTTCGGCTTTCAACAGGGTGACACAGAGGTCAGTAATCAGTTTCTTGCTATGAGTGAGTCTTTGATTTTCCCTCAAACTCTGAGTTTTGTTGCAGATCAATGAGTTGTGGAGGAAGTTGAGAGATACGTTGAGGAAGCCGAGCGACTTTCAGGTGGCCTGCCAGAAACCCAAGACGGTTTTGCTGGACACAGGGGAGATGTTCCAACCTTATGCTTGGGCGGTATGAAACTAAAAATTTTTGTTTGGTTCAAAAGTGATGATTTTTGGTACAGTATTGTGATGGATGGCACAGAGGAGTGCGGTAGTTCGATAAAATAAGATGGGTATGGGTAAGTAGGCTAACAAATTTAGTTTAAAATATTGAAGGAAAAACAACGGGTCTTGGCAAGGTGTATCAGTTTTTACTAAATTTTCAACTTCATCAAATTTCACCGTTGCAATTTTTAACTTGAACTTGAAAAAGATTATAATCTTCGCCTTAAAACTCGTTGAAAACAGTGTTACAAATTTTTACTTTTTGATAGATTTTTGTTTGAAAAATCTTCAACAATGTATTCTTGCGTGTGTTGAAATTTGGTGAGATTGAAAATTTATAGTAAAATTCATTAACTTACCAGGTTTAGGGTAAGTTTGGATTTTTCTTTCCCATTTAAACATATTCTATTCTCATTGATTTCCTCATAGAAGTTTTTGATCCAACTGCACTTATTTATTGAGCTACATATATCTTCACTATGGTATTAGATTATCATTGGTTAGTTCGAAGGGAATGTCACGAAGATAGCACTTTGTTTGAATCAAAATTTGATGGGTGAATTATCTGCAGCCAGCAATTCTTCCAATTCAAATTCTCAGGCTGGGAAAACTGATCATACTCTCTGTACCTGGAGGTACAAATAAAAGAACCCATAAAACTTGGAATCTTCTTCGCTCTAACCTTAACCCTCTGAATATAATGTTGCAGAGTTCACAACAATGGCGGGGCGAAGATTAAGGGAAGCAGTAAAGGAAACTCTGATAAGCAATGGAAATGGTGAATTCGATGACGACACCCATGTTGTGATTGCAGGGCTTACAAATACTTACTCTCAATATGTGGCCACTTTTGAAGAATATGAACAACAACGATATGAAGTAAACCCAAAAAAATCCTTACAATTCCTAAGACTAGTTTTTATCATTTGTTTGCTTTGATTAGGTAGAGGATTAAAAGTGTTTTTTAATCTAAATTTTGTAGTTTGAGAAATTTAAACATTGATCATACTCCTCTGATTAGTAGAATACTCATGTTATTTTGAAACATTGATGTTCATCTGCAGGCTGCTTCAACTCTCTACGGACCACACACTCTATCAGCATACATTCAAGAGTTCAAGAAACTAGCAAAAGCAATAGCCAAAGGTGAAAACATAGCAAAGCCAATAGTCTCACCACCGGACCTCTCATCGGTCCAGCTCCGACTTGTGTTAGACCCTATTGGGGAATCACCGCGGAATGGCATCAACTTTGGAGACATCCAACAAGACATCAAATTACCAGAAACTGGTTGGTTCAAAAGAGGGGAAAAACAGAAACCAACTGCCACATTTTGGAGCGCAAACCCAAGATTCGACCTGTTGACCGAAGGGACATATGCAGTGGTAGAAAGGTTAGAGAAAGAGCGATGGACATCGGTTTATGATGACGATGATTTCTCCTTATTTTTCAAATGGACATTAGACAACAACACATTCATCAACAGCTTAGCGACTATAGAATGGGACATCCCGATCGATGCCAATCCCGGTGTGTATCGCCTACGACACTTTGGATCATCAAAGACAAGTACAAACTCAACCAACATATATTTCACCGGGGCTTCTCGCGCTTTTGCAGTGTCATAGGTACACAAACATTAAACTTTAGTACAACAAATGAAGTTTGTAAAAGTGAAACTTGTTCGAGGAGTAACAAGGCATGAGCTTGCTTCATTTGCTCATCCAAATCACACACCTAAGGCATTCCCCTTCACTCAGCAAATTAAAAGCTTTGTTGATGTCTTCAAATTTGACTTCGTGTGTGATAAATAAATCCAAATGTAGTTTCTGTCAAGTTTCAATAAATTTGCTCGATTAATGTAGAGGAATCACAACATAAAGCATGCACCCTTCCAAAGTTTAGATACTATTTATATTTTACCACATCACTCTTAATTTTGTTATTGATTAATTTCATTTTAGTATATAAAGTATTTTCGTAGCATCCCTGTTTTCTTGTTTTTTATTCATCGTTTTCAACTTTTTACAAATATTTGACAATAATTTTTTGTTTTTGTTTCTCATTTTTTAAGAAACGTTTTTAAAATTGTGTAGAAATCTTAAAAATAAAAACGTTTCCAATTTCAAATTTTTTAGTACAATATGTTGAGGAAGGAATTTGAACTCACAACCTTTTGATTGTCAGTTACTAAAATGTTATATTTATATCATTCTTTAACTTATAAAATGAATAACAAATATCAAAAAATAAATCTTAATATAAAATTGAAATATTTAATTCAAAAAAATAATTTTTATATAAAATTTTTACTTTTTTAATTTAAAATTTTAGATAACAAAAAACCAAAAGTAGTTACAAAATATGTTTATGTTTCTTTTTCCGTAGAAGGAAAAAACTAGAAGGAAAAAAAAGACGACAAACAAGAAATAAAAAACGACAAACAAGAAGTAAGAACTATGAACTTTACCAAACGACCATAAATTTTTCAATATTTATTTTAGTTTTTTTAGGATCCGTATGATAACCAGAAAATAAGTTTGTTTAATAACCAATTTAATTTTCTGTTATTTAAAATCATTTTTTAATCCTGAGTAAAGTTCATATAGTTTTTAAAAACAAGTTTTTCTTTTTCAAAATCTCATTTTTCTTTCTATCTAATGCTCAAATTTTTTTTCTTCGACATATTTCTCTCTAATAATTTTTTTCTTGTTCTAAAATATTTTTTACCTAAATTTCTCTCTCTAAAATAAATTATCTTTCTCTTTCTAAAATTTTAATCTCCGAAATATTTCTCTCCCTCTCCAAAATTTTCATTTATATTTATATTTTTTTCTTTTTGTTCTAACACATCACTTTGTTTTTTCTTTCTCTAAAAATTTAATATTAATTTTTCCTTTTCGATCTAGTCCATTTTTTCTCTAAGAAATATACCTTCAAATTTTTTCTGTCTAAATGTTTTCTTATTAAATTTTCTTTCCCTCGTAACTTTTCTTTCTATTTTCATTTAATTTATTTATTTTATGTAATAAATATATTTTGAACTTTTTCTTGTCCAAATTTTGTTCACACTATAATTTGCCTTTCTCTTTCTAATTTTTTTCTTTGTCTAACATGTATCTTGCTCTCAACTCTACTCTATAATTTTCTATTTTTTACTTTAATTTTTTTCTCACTAATTTATTTTTCTTACTTTTTTTTTCAACTCTCTAAAATGTATTCTCTCCGGAATTTCTCTTTTAAAAGTTTTTTTTTCATCTCTCTAAACTTTTATTTTCACGTGTCTACATTAGAGACCACAAAAATTTTCGTAGAGTCGAATCCCACCTTAAGAATAGAGAATGAATTTCCCACAATGTCCCGTCTCCCATTCTATTTTTTTTAAATAATTAGTGTACATAAATATAATTTATAAAATATGAATAAATATGAATCTAATAATTTATACTAGTAAATAATTATTTTTTAGTAAAATAATATAAATTATATATCTTTACTCCTTTTTGTTTTTTAAATTCTAAAAATAATTAAAATTAATTATAAACCAATAATTTTTCTCATGAACAACCTCGCCCCCAAATGATCAGAATTCCTGAACCTGGACCTCGATTTCCAAAATCGGAGAATGGGTTAGAGATGAGAATTAAAAATTTCATGAGAGAGGACTTCTCAACCCCTACCCCACAATGTTGTCATCTCTAATATTTTAGATAAATTTTTCTACTTGGAACATATATTTCCAATTTTCTAAAACCAATCATGGTTATCAACCATAGTTTGTTTTTCAGTTTTTCAAAAATAAAAAATAAAAACAGTTATCAAATATATATAGTTTTTGTTTTTTTAAAAACAGAAAAACCAAAAACGAAAAACATAAATGGTTATCAAACGAGCACTGAACTTTCCTCATTAATGTTTTTGTTCGTACATAACTTATTATATATACATATAGCTTCAAATACTTGTCATGTTTACTCAGTCAAATAAATGAATAAAAGGTAATTAATCAAGTTAGGTTTTTACTAAATGAGATTATAGACATTTGATAGCAAGAACTAAAATAAGTTTATCACGTAAGTACGTTTAGAAACTAAAATAGATATTTATAGTTAAGGCGCTTGAATATAGAATAAATACTTATATTATAATAAACACACAAAGGAAAAGAGAATTAGGGCAAAGTTGTTGGTCACCTTATCTATGTACCATTGAACAAGTGTGGGAATGTCTGATTTGGGCTTAAGTCCACCATATAAGCACCCAATCAAAGTTTTCCCTTGGAAAATCACATCCGCAGATTTCAGACTTAATGCTGACGTTGTATCCTCCACACCAAATAAAATTGTTTTTCCCCAACCCTAAAGTCATTAAAGCAACAAATTAATGGTAATAATTAGTTAATTAATAAAGAAAATACCTCAAGCATAATGATCAAAGAAAGGGAAGGATTGGCCCATCCAAGAAAATAAGTGGATAAGGAATCTATCACCATTTCTGAGATGGATGATATGATTTCTCGTCTCATTATTTTTTAACTAGAAAAGAGAGAGGTCGGAGAAAAGGAAAGATGGTTACCTTTCTACAGCAAGCAAATGCTTCTGTGATTAAGGAGCTTAGTCCAACACATTCAAAGCAATAGTCTGCACCTCCATCTGTCATCTCATTAATCACCTATAGAGCATATACTTAACGTTCAATATAATCACACCCCTAAATTCAAAAGTTTTAAATAGAAAAGCTAGAGTATATTTCAACTTCCTAAATGTTTTCTCGCGATTTGTAGATTTATAAATTAGCATGCGTGAGACCCAAACGAGATTATATTATCTATAACATAAATTATTCTATTACTATAGAATATAAATGTCCCTGTTTTTGGAGTGTCGTTAAATTGAGCTGACACAATTTCTACCCTTTGTCCCGATATTATTATATTGACATAAACAAACCATTGCTCTTATTCCCAAATTCATGAGGCCCACAAAGATCTCATAGTACAACACCATTAGTGTGGCCACCATTATCAACAAAATTGTCGACACTCGACAGAATAAAATCTGTGTTTTGCCTTCCATTGTGGCCACCCACCAAAATCAGATTTATTTGTTTATGGCAGACAACAAATTGATGTGGTCCTTCAACCAAATGGAGTGGTTGATTATTGGAAAAGACAGTGGTTTATGATATAAAGTCCATTTTTCAAGAGGCTTTGCTTTTAATTTCACTCAAAAAAATTGATATATATTGTGATATATTTCTATTTTTTCAAGATCACAAGTTTCATTAATCCTCTTACCTGGCTCACAGATTTACCATCAAGGGCTCGAGAATTAACAGTCTCAGTAACTCCAAACTCTTTTGCTGCATAAAAGAAGAAGAAAAAATCACCATAAAAGATCAAACTGGGCAAAAAAAAAAGAGATTATTAAAAGTAAAAAGTAGTTGCCCTTTGTTAATTTATCTGGGTTGACATCAACCCCAATGATCCTGGATGCTCCACATATTCTTGCTCCTTCAGCAACCTAATTTACCAAATAATCCTTAGCCAATGAAGTAATATTTGAATGAACTCTACAATTAAATAGAAATGGATTAATTCTTACAGCCAAGCCAATGGTCCCAAGTCCAAAAATGGCAACAGTTGATCCTTTTTCCACCTTTGCTGTTCTCCAAGCAGCACCCACCCCTGTAACCAAATATTATATGTACCCAAAAATCACTTCTTAGTGCCTCCCCAAAACTTTGAATTTTTTTTCCTTTTGAAAACTTACTTAATTAAGAGTATTAACTTCACCACGTACTAAGTTAAAAGTTAAAGTTGAAGTTGATTCAGCTAGCAAATAACAATAGGGTAGAAAATAACCTGTCGCCACGCCACAACCAAGGAGGCACGCGCAGTCGGGCGGGATGATATTATAAGGATCGAGTTTAAAGATATGAGCAATGTCTACCACAGTGTACTCACTGAAACTTGACACATACAACAAGTGATGCAGAAACTGTCCATTAAGGTCAGTGAACCTACTGGTGCCACAGCGAGGCATCCCATGGGAGAGATTGAAGGACAGTTTAGAGCAAAGGTTGCTCTTTTCTGAACTGCAATCTCTGCACTCTCCACACTCACCCATGAAACTTGGGATTACAATGTCTCCTTCCTTTACTTCACTCACTTCACTTCCTACACTCTCTACCTCTCTACAACAATAGGCACTGTTTATTTAGAAATAGAAAATAAATAGCTATCAAACGGCCCGAACAAAGATAGTGTACTCACCCAACAGCTTCGTGGCCTAAAATCCTTGGAAAGATCCCCGGAAGATCCTAAGGACATTTGAATAACGATAAGATCAATAAATAGTTAGTTGATGATCGTAGTTCAATGGTTAAGTTGTTTATACTTTGTCTTAGGTCAAAGGATGTTTAATCCTACATCATCAAATTTCTTGAACTCAAACAGAAGAAACAAGAATAATTAGTGAATTTTCAATATGAAAAATATATTTTTAAAGTACTCCCTATTGGGAAATTGATTTATTTGAATAATTTTCCTCTCCACATAAATATCTAAACACAACAAAAATATGCAAATAGGAAGAAAACTGTAAAAGCACAATAATAAAGACATAGCAAATTATTCTGGTTCGCTACGTCCAGTCTTCCACTCAAATGTAGGTAATTCACTAATAATTATTTAGGGATTGGAAACTTTCCCAAAAATATCTCCTAGAAGTCTCTCTAATTTTATATTTGTTTTTTGTAGTTAAAATAATAAAATCTCAATTATTAAACTTTTGCAAAAATAAAAATAAAGTGTCTTTGAAACAGAAAAATAAAACTAATTATCAAACGTGAATGATATAATCTGTTTGGTTAAATTACCATCTTAAGCCATAAATCCCTAAACTTTAAGTTAACTCTAGTCTCTAGTGATTTCATAGTTAAACTTTAAAAAGGTTTAACCAGTGTCTAAATTACTCTCCATTTTAATTAATTGTAATAAGTCATTATTATATGTAATATTAATTAAATGCTGAAATGGTATGTTAATTAGAGTGTGAGGCTTGGAAACATATAATAAAAATAGTGCCAAAATGGCATAGCTTACGACAATTGACGTATATTTCTAATTAAGAGATTGTGAATTCGATCTCCATCTTAACTTATTGTACTAAAATATATATATATATATATATATATATAAAACAAGTAGTAGGTGGGCCAACAAAATTTTAAATGTATTTCGTCGTTAAATATCTTTTTTCGTAATTTGTATGGTCTCTTATTTGTTAACCAACTCCCTAATTATGTCACATCATACCAATTATTGGATGTTAGTCAGCATGCCATATCTAAATTTAACCACCAACTAAAATCAACATAAAAAGTTAAATAATTTTAAAACTAACTTACCTAAACAATATAATGAAAAAGAGAGAGATGGGAATACCACCATTATTTTAAAATTTTAACTTTTTCACCTATGTTTCTTTTCCGAAAAAAGTTAGACATAGAAACACATCTCACTAACTCCTCCACCAATTTCACACATGCATACAAAAATATATTAAAACAAATCGAGAGAGACAACATCCGTCGTCGTCAGATCGGTCATGGACGGCGGTGGTCGGAGAACGGCGAGCAGCAAACCCCCGAGAAGAAGAGGGGCAAAAAAAAAAGCCATGAATCTAGAAGATAATATAAAATTAGTAAAAATGGCCGCGCCATAATTCTTCCATTAGCTCATGGAATTAATTCAAGTAGTATTTATAATCGAATAATTTTATCGAGAATAAAAAAATTATAAACTCAAAAAAAAAAGAATAATAATAAATTGAGGAAATTGCAACAACCTGCTGAATCACGTGAAAGGAGTAAAAACCTGGTATATAATATATTTAATTTTTTTCGGTTGGTCCGGTTGAGACATATTTGTGATGGACCGACCGGTGGATTGGATCGAAAAGGAGTAAAAAACCGACCGATTATTGTCGATGAAGAGGAGAAGAGAAGAGAGAGAACCTTCATGTTCCAGAATTTGATATCGGTATGACAGAGAGAGGTGCAAATGATCCGAATCCGAACCTCATGAGGCATCGGCGGAGCCACCAAAATGTCCTCCACCACCAGCGGCTCGCCGGCCTTCCGGCAGACGGCGGCTGCCAAATAAATTTCAAATCATGACATCAGATTATATCAATTACAAATTAATTACAAGAGAGAGAGAGGGGGAGACAGAGCAACAAATTAAAGTTTGTACCTCTGCACCGAATGGGCTTACCGGCGGTGGCGGTGGCGGTGGCGGTGGCGGTGGCGGTGGCCGTCGACGATTTATGTTCCATCGGTGAGATGTGAGAGACTAGAGAGAGCTCTCAGTTCTCTCAACCAAATAAAGTTGGTTACGGAAGTAGAACTCACTTCCTTTTCACTTTCCAAATAAAGGAATAGCGTTTTTCTCCTCCTTTTTTCCTTTCTTTTGTGGGTACAAAAAGTGAGTTTTTCCAAAGGACCTTTTTTTTTTTACTATTATTGTTTTTTATCATACTTATTTAAAAAATATAGATGGTCGTCTCTTAATCATCTCTTCGAGACAAAATATTATGATATTATATAAAAACAAAATAGCTTTTCTTGAATATGTCTAAAACCTTTGCGTAGTGATTTAAGTAATAACTTCTCTAGGATCTCCCACCCTGATACTATTTTAAAGATGAATAAACCAYCACTCAATTCAAAAAGCTTAAGCTGCAACAAAACCAAACGAAGTGGAAATCATAATAAATGGGGAAGAAATAATAATACAAGAGTTCAAACACAAGACCGATTAATTAAATTTAATTCATATATTGGATATCTAACAYCATTCTCATGTATTTGAAACTTTTGTTGAGCGTTTCAATTTTTATTTYTTMTTTTTTGAATAAAAATAATTAACTTTCTACTCACCATTATTACTAATTAGATAATATTGTTTTTAACTTTCTACTTATCTACTTATTAATATTATTATAATTATTTTAATAAGATAATAATAATAATAATAACAATAATAGTAATAATAAAACTCGTTCTCTTGTTAACAACAATTGTGTTAGGAGGAAGTGTCAGCAATTGTATTTTGTGAGAGAAGAGAAGGTTATAGAGCTTTGACGACAACTCGTTCTCTATARGTTTGGCGAGAGCATCCGTTGTAAATGTCTAAGTAGCCATTTATTATGGTATTCATTATGCTACTTAAAAGTCATGTAGTCGTTGTTGTGGTATCATGAAAACCTTGTAGAGCACGTAAGATGTCCATTGTAATTTTCATATCATAGTAAAACTTTTTGTTATAGAAGACTGTAGTCCAAAGTTTGGGGCGGGCGGCTCCTATGGAAAGAGAATTCGTTAGCCCCAATTAGATTACAAGAGGATTATTTCCCAACAAAAAAGTGATTACCTTGTGGCTATCAACTCTTTCACATTTGCCCTTCATTTTCTTAAAAGTTAGCTCCATTTACAAGTTAACAACTCTGTCCATTTCAATCACTTGTTTTAATGGTAAAATTATTTAGGATCATACTCAAATCAATTTTAAAATTCAAAGGTCAAAAGGTATAAGTGAAACTTTTWAAACTAAAGGGTATAATTGAAACTAACATCAAATATGGGCATTTTGAATACTTTAGCCTAAATTTTATTTATTATTTTCTTTTTTTTTGTGGGATACAACATGTTGGGGGAGGATTCAAACTCACAAACTCATGGTTTGAGGTACATGCCAATTACCGCTGAATTATGTTCTCTTTGGCAAAAATTTTTATTATGTTAGTACAAAGAAGATATTAAATTATATCARCATATCAATATTTTCAACAACATTCTCAAATGTCAATGAGTTCCATATTTCCGTAGACATTTATTTGAGATTTTTGAATAGACATAATTGCTGACAGATAGGCAACCAATGACATGATGGGTGCTCGCTCATTTGTTCATCCAAATCACACATCTCAAGCTCTTTCCTTCAATTAGCAAATTAAAAGCTTCATTGATGTCTTCAAAACCTACTTCGTGTGTGATAAATTTATCCAACTTGAGTTTCTGATGGTTAAAGATTCTAAATCAATACAATGTTAGGAAAAAGAGAAATCACACCAATAAAAAGAAAAGGGAATTGTAGGTCACCTTATCTGTGTACAATTTAAGGAGAGTGGGAATATCTGATTTGGGCTTTATTCCCCCAAATAACGATCCGGTGAGAGTCTTCCCATTATGAAGGACATCATAAGAGCTAAAACTCAATACTGATCCAGGTTTATCCACTCCTAACACAATTGTTTTTCCCCAACCCTAAAGTCGAAATAAGAGACTACAAATAAATGTTTGGAGAATGCAAAGAAAATCATCCCTTGAACTTCAACAAATTATATCAACATTATGAAATCATTGCAATTAAACTTTTCGGATGTAACTTCCTGAGATGCGATTTAAAAGATGCACACATCACCTAACTAAACTCTGGTGCAATTGTAATAACTTTTAATTTCAACATAGTTTCTGCAATTCTGTGTAGAAAATGATTTTAGTTATCTATGGCATTCGATCCAATTGAAAGATAAAAAGGAACCAGTGGCAGATACAAATCAAAAGGCATGGTTAAGGATGCATGATCAAAGAAAATGTTGAGAGAGAGAGGGATTGGACCTGTCTGCAGGCTGCATATGCTTCATGAACTAAGGAAGCCATTCCAACACATTCAAAGCAATAGTCTGCACCTCCACCAGTCATTTCAATAATTACCTGCTCAACATTGAGATCAGAGCATATGAAAAAAGGTTATTTAGTTAGATTAATCTAACCATTGCCGCAAATTCACAGAATGTATAATAATAGCACTTGTGATGCCTCATAAGAGCCTTTATTGGATACTAGCAAGCTGAAGTGTTACGAAACCTTAATCATTCATGAAGCAGCATCTCAATTCTCAATCAAATCCACTCCAATGAGTTAGCAGCAATATATTGATCTCGATTCTCCCTCTTAACTTGATTTTAAGTGTCATAAAAAAGAAAGCTCATGTCTATAGACACAGCACTAAATCCAGTTAAAAAAACTCTTCAAGAAAAATTTTCTTATCCAATAGTGAATCGTAAGCTATTATTTATTTGATAAGGTCAAAAGTTTGATGGGAATATAAAACAAAATCACATTCAATCTCGTTGATAACCTACATACCTGGCTCACAGATTTATCACCAAGGCTTCCGGAATTAACAAATTCAGTGACTCCGAACTTTTTCGCTGCATTTGGGAAATTAAGACATCTTTATGACTACTTAACTAATAATAATATGATCTTAAATTCTTATAGTGAACTATAAGTTTAAATAATAATGCTTGCACATGAATGAGTATGGTACCTCGAAACACATGGCTCATTCCATAGAGAGAAGCTTCAAGATTTGATTTGTAGTAGTTCTTTAATTAGGGAAAGAGAATTAAAAAATGAGAAATATAAAGTACTTGCCAGTCTCAAATTTATCTGGATTCACATCTATTCCAATAATCCTGGCAGCTTCACATAGTCTTGCTCCTTCAGCAACCTATAGTAACAATGATAAACTATAAAGTTTTTGACAGGCTCCCATAGTTATATACAAAGTCAAAAAAAAAGCATACAGCTAAACCTATGGACCCCAGTCCAAATATGGCAACAGAGGAGCCCTTCTCCACATTTGCTGTTCTCCATGCCGCCCCAACCCCTAAACCCAAATGTTTAACAATCTGATTATTAGTACTCTCAAAATAGTCAAGCATACACAAAAATACATACAAGACAACATATTATAATTTTCACAAAATTTTATCCTGTTAATATGATATTTGAACTGAACATTGAAAGGAAGAGTAAGAAAACCAAGGCCTCTATCCTCTACACAAATTGAAGTCCTAACCAAATAGAGTCAAGTTAAGTTTCTTTATGAGGTAGAACAATTTTAAAGGAGGAAACTGCAGGAGCCACATTTTAAGAACAGAACTGGATTTTGTGCTCAATTAAATATATATATATATATATAAACAACAACCACTAATTAATTCAGATCTTAAATTCAAGGATTTTCTGGTCAATACAATTCAAATCTTCACAATAGTAAGTAATGGATTAGACATGACCTGTTGTTACCCCACAACTAAAGAGGCATGCTCTGTTTGGAGGGATTGCAAGATCTACTTTTGTTACATTGGCAATATCCAACACTGTGTATTCACTGAAACTTGATACAAACAGAAAATGATGAAGAACCTCTCCGTTGAGATCTGTGAATCTGCTTGTTCCACAGCGGGGCATTCCTGGAGAAACCTTGAAAGGGAGTTTAGAACAGAGATTACTCTTATCTGATAAGCAATCTGCACACTCTCCACAGTCAGCAATGAATGTTGGGATAACAACATCTCCTTCCTTAACTTCATTAACATCTTTTCCTACACTCTCAACCACTCTGCAAATTGAAACAATAGGTGTATTGTTATGACTCGTTTCATTATTTTGTTTAAATTAGTTTGTTTAGATTTTATATTTTCGAATTTTGAGTTGGAAAAGATAGACAGAAATTTTAAGTAACGTTGAACTCTCTCCGAGTTAAATTGTTGGGAGGTTGGAATTCCTCGAAAATCCTAAATGAATGAATCTGAATAAGGTCTATTTTTACAGTGAGAAATTTGGTATGCAATTAATGGCCAAACATCAACGGACTGACACCAAATCAACTATTAGATGCTTTGGTACACAAGCGAGTAATATAAGAACATGCATATTCATCATCTGTGGTTGTTTTGGGCAGAGCATGAGCAATCAATCAGAGCATACAATAAATAATGTCCATAAATTGCACATGTTTGCAGCAGGAACAGTTAATGCAGCGTACGAACAGAGCTTATTTTAAAAGCACCAAAAAATAGAAAAAAACACATCCAGAAAATTTGAAGATACACAGGCAGCATTTTTAGTTTTGCATAATCCTTCTGAAATAACGCAATACCAAATGCGAATCACAAGTACCCGAAACTTCACCACCGAATTTTCATTTATTGAAGTCGATTCACCGTAAATCCGCAGATGATTGAAGGTAATTTAAAAGCAGAATTAACAGAAATATCAAACTCACCCGACAGCTTCGTGGCCAAGAATTCTAGGAACAATCCCCGGAGGATCCTTCGGACATGGAATATCCAAAAAATGAGTAAGAAAATCACTTCACTCTATAAATGTTACAAAGAAAAAGAAGAATGATTACAAGACGCACCTTCAATTTCCAGAACGAGACATCGCTTTGGCACAAAGAGGTGCAGATTATCCGAATTCGAACTTCCCGAGCCATCGGCGGCGCCACTATAATTTCCTCAATCACTAGTGGCTCGCCAGGCTCTCGGCAGACAGCAGCTAACAAATTCCAAGCGCATTAAAACGTCAAACATTTCAAAGGCCATGAGGAAGAGAGGCTCGGTCAAAAATCAATCTGAAAGACAACACAACTGAAGAAGTACCTCTACACCGAATAGACTGAAGTCCGGTTGCCGCCGACGATTTATCTTCCATGACGGCAGTCGAAGAGGAGGTTTCCGGCGAGCAGTGAGAGCTCGGATAGAGATAAGGTGGTGCCTTGGGGACCGGAAGTCTCGGCCGTTGAAGAAGCGAGAGAGTACGAAGTCGTTGGAATTGGAACTTGGAGGCAGATTTTCGTACTATTTATATTGAAAACTAACTCCTTAAATAAATACGTTTGAAATCTCATTTTGCTACCTAACTTTTTCATCAAAAATTATAAATAATTTTAAATACTATTTTAATCCTTACACTTGCTTTTTAAGCTTTGGCACGACGATTTTGATTTTTGCAACTTTTATTTACGTATTAATAGAACATTTATTTTGGTCATTATTCTTTTAATTCGTGACTATTTTAGTGCTTCATTTTCATTTATCTCATTTTTTCAATCAAAATTTTAATATGATAATTTTACTCACAAAATTTCATGAAATGTAGTCACAAATTCATATTAAGAATTTTCTATTAGGTATAAAAGTTGTTTTAAAAATTTTATGGATAGGGATCAAAATAATCATTTTTTTTTAATATAAAGATCCAGATAGATGTTTTGAAAGAGAACCAAAATAGTACTCAAACTTTTAAAATATTACGTTTTAGGTTTAAATATTATTTTGATCATATACTTTAAAATAGTGATTGTCATTTTTGTCAAGATTTAAACCTCCAATTTTAATTTGCTCGAGAATATACAGCTTAACCAATTTGTGATTGGTAGGTTAAAAATGCACCAAACCACTCTCCTATCATCGTAGAGTTGTTATAGTTCAATTCTTGAAGTAGTATTTGGGTTTATTGAAACTAATGAAATTAATTGTTGCAATTATATTCCTCAATTAAATCCAATCATTAATGAAGCATGTAAAATTTGGGTTTATTGACACTAGTTAAATTAATTGTTGCAATTACATTCCTCGATTAAATCCAATCATTAATGAAGCAAGTATACAGTCCAGTTAATTGCAAGATTTTACAAGTTTTAGATGGAGGATTGTTCGCCAACATGCATAGCTCTGATTTTTTTCAAACAATTATTTTCTAATTTAACATAAGAAAGAGAAATATGTTTGTTTGGGGAAGGGAATACCCTGACACGTGGAGGACCCCTATTGCTGCTCCAAGATGGCTCATGAGTCTAGCTCGGATAGCCGAGATGGCCGCCACTAACGTCGACAAATGCTAAGTATGAGGGCCGAGGTGAACCTGGCCCAGGTCTGACCTATCGGGGAGCTCGGTAGGGGCTGATGTGAGCAACTGTCTGCGGCGTGATTATCGGGCGTAACCGTCGGTCCCGAGATTACCGGGTGTAACCGACGGTCCCGAGATTACCGAATGTAACAGTCGCGAGATTAGCGGGACTACCACCCATAAGTAGAGGACCTCACTCCCCGATCAGGTACGATGATTTCGGGTCTCGAACTAAACTGGGAATCCAACCTATACTGACTTGATCGTCGGAGTGCTCACCTTTTTGTGCAGGTCCGCCCAAGCGTTCAGGTCGGTCCGGAGGCCGAGTTCGAGCTGCAATCTGGAACACACTGTTGTGCACATC